AACCCTGGGCCCTTTCGTGCGGGAGGACGCCCTGTTTGTCCCCTCAGGGGATTCAGCCGCAAGGTGCCATCCTACAACTAGAAGCAGCTCTTGCCAGGTGCCGAATCTGCCTGTGCCTTGACCTTGGGAATCTGCCTGTGCCTTGACCTTGGGCTTCCCGGCCTCCAGATCTGTGAGCCACCAATGTCTGTTCCTTATGCAGGAATTTTGTGATAACAGCATGAACAGTTTCCTCATCTGTTAAAGGGTGGAAAGCTGTCTGTTCTTTAAATTTTACTGGCCCTAGGGAGTGGTTCGCTCTAAACAAAACAAAGAAACTGTTCTTTTGTGTAACTCCAGGCAAGAGTCGCTTGACATTTTACCCCACTGTTGTGGCAGAAGAGCAAAACCAGGAGCTCCAAGGGCAACCAAATGGCACAGGACGCGCGCCTGGCCTCCTCTGATGCTGGCCACTAAATCCACCCTCCCTGCAAGTTGCCTCCGACGCCCTCCAGGCTCACAGAATAAACCGAATTCAGGAGCCGGGTGGTTCTGTGTGCAAACACGGGGGCAGAACCACCAGGAGGTCGTGTACCTTCGGAGGTCGGGCTGACAACTGAGCAGCCAGAACAAGTGGAACCTTGGTGAGCTGGTGTCCCGTGCGTACACGGTGTAAGGGAGCACATGTGAGGACGGGTCCATGCATTTTCCGGGGAGACAGGAAGAGAGTCACAGGCATGTGGGGGCCAGGAGAAGGTGAACAAAACAACAGCAACAAGAACAACAAAACAGAGGACACACGAAGTGCCTTAGCTTGGCCCTACCGTATTGTACAATTCCTCTAGTCTGGAGATGGTGAGAAAACGGTGCATGCTTACTCCATTCTCTATGAGTAATTTCACAAAATCCACTCTGTCCAAAACGAGGGCATCCAGCATAGCTTGCTCCAGAGACCCCACCTGCAAATCAAGCCCCTGAGTTAGTCTGCCCTGGTTTCTCGGGGCGCAGGGCCGCGGCGTTCACCCGAACAGCACGCAGGGACGCTTGGTCTCTGGGAAGCCCTGGGCTCCTGCCGGAACATCCCGAATGGACGGCGCACAGCTCCGCTTTGGGGCAGCCGCTATCCCTCCTGTGCTTGAGGTCTGTGATTGGAAACGGAAGTAAAGGATTTCTAAGTCCAAAACCTATTTCCTTCCCAAATCGCTTTCTTTTTCTGGATCCTGAGAAAGTTGCAAGGGTCCCCAGGGTTCTTCTCTTGCAATTCCGGGCCATACTTTTTCAATGCCAGTCCAATGCCCAGGTGGGCACCAACGGACGTGCATCGGTGATGCGGACCTTTCGGAGACTGAGTCCCCAGACTGCAGCCCCAAGCCCACTAATTTATCACAAAGGGCCAACACTGCCATTATGCCTGAACACTGAGCTTTGACTTTAGAAAAAATAACTCATACATCAACATCTTTTGTCTTAAAAGAAAGACAACACACGTGCCATGGGTTCGCCTCCACTGACCTAGAGGGATGCTGGATCTCTGTCCAGAAATAGGCAACTGGTTCCACTTATCAACTAGAAAAATCAAGAAGCTAAGTTTTGGATTTGACACTGGCTAGAATTTTTATTTAATCCCTTTCACAAAAATTTTCCAGGGCCCAGATCCCTCGACAAATATTCCCACGTTAACAATGCACTCCCACCGTATGAAGACTGCGCACGCGCAGCCAAGCGCCCCCTGGCGACAGCAAGGGTGAAGGAAGACCCGCCTGTGAGTGGCGTTATTCCAGGGCCTAGGCGGCCCCCGCACACGCGCGCCTACACCACCCAGTGGCCAGTTCCCCAAGGTGTTAGTTTTGGAAGCGTTAACTGAGGGAAAGCAACCAGGAACAGTTACGTAAAACCCTGGATCCCTCGTGCTGTTCTGTGGGAAGGGAGAGGATCCGGGCTCCGCCCCCAGCACCAGAAGGAACCTGCAAAATTCTGCATCCTGAGGCTGACCCAGCCATACCACTGCAAGGGCCACCGTTTGGAAGCAGTAACCTCTTCCTTTTGCCCGCCTCAAAGAAAATCAGAAACACTGAACTCCTTCATTATTTTAATTTATACGAGCTTGTATTATATGTATCTTTAAAGATATTTGCGGCTGAAAAATTCCCATAAAGGCCACTGGTAGAGACGGAAACGTACGCAGTTGTTTGGAGTAGTGATTAATTATAATGACCACCAGGTGGCAGCATTTCTCCAAGTATGAGAAGCGGCTCCCAGGCCTGGAACTCTGCCATACCAAAGGAAGATTTTTTTTCAGCCCAAACAAAAGGTAGTAAGTACTTTCCCGAGCCGCTCTACAAGCTCTTGAAATAAACACCCTTGCCCAGGCAAGTGGGCTTCTCCGGGGTGACGTCATATACTCTACCGGCCACTGTTGCCCATAGATAAAGATCTGGCTGCGGGCGATGTCCACTCGGTTCCAGGCTAAAGCTAAGCTCAGTTGGTCCGGGGCCGAGGCGTTGGCTCCTGCGCACACAGAGGTGGGAGAGAAAAGAGGAGAGAAAACACGGGTCATTGTTTTGCAAGAAGACTCACCCATCACGGCCATGGGCCCTTTCCGCAAACAGTGGACAAGTCCCTTCGGCAGGGTCTCCCAACCTGGCCCCACTGTCCTTTCTGTAGGACGCTGCTTGCCCCGGACCTGTCCTGTACACGGTAGATTATTTCATAGCCTCCCAGGCTCAGCCTAGGAGGTGCCAGGAGCACCTTCCGTTCGTCCACCCACTACAGTCAGAAGAGCGCCCAGCCTGATGTGATAACAAAGGGCTGTCACCGCAGCACTCTGGGAGGCTGAGGCAGGAGGATTGCAAGTCTGAGGGACCTTAGTGATTTAGCAAGAACTCGTTTCAAAACAAAAACAAAAACACGAAAGACAAAAAAGCCTGTTGAATATCACCATTCTACAGCTGGCCTAGTGAGAGCGTGGTCCACCCAGCACTAGCTAGAACTGCATCCGTCGGCTCTGCTCCGTGGCTTGTGCTTTAGTGAGATCCTGGGTGAGAGTGTGCGCGTCAGGGCTAGAGAAGCGAGGCTCCACTGCAAGCTGTGCTTCCGCTGGCCAGGCTGGTCTCGGGCACGGCTGGCCTGTGTTTTGCATGGGCAGTGGCCTCGTCATCTCTCTACCAAGAAAGAGCTGAGAAGGCCGCTGCGAGGCCGGGCAGTGGCTCAGGTCTACGCTGATTAGTGGATGGAAACCGTGCGAGCCGTTTCTCCTTATTCTCCGAACTCTCTAGAGCCATGTTGCTCCGTGTGGCTATTTAAATTTATTAAAATAAAATAAAACTAAAACTTTAATTCCTTCATCCCATTAGCTGCAGTTTAGGGCTGACTAGCCACCTCTGGCCCGTGAATCCGGAAGCAGAGACGGGACTGTTTCCCTCCCTCCTTCCTTTCCTTCTTTCCTTCCTTTTTGAGGCACAGGGGATTGAACCCAGGGCCTGTACACTGAGCTCCCTCCTCAGCCCTTTTTAAAATTCTGAGACAGGGTCTTGCTAAGCTGGGCTGGAACTTGCAGTTGTCCTGCCTCAGCTTCCCAGGGTGCTAGGATTTTTATTTTCTTCCCAGAGCGCTGGGTTTCCTGTGTGCACGGCCACCGCTGACTGGCAGAGGACATTTCCGTCACCACAGAGGATTCCTCCGGGACTGTGCTGGTCTGGGTGAACCCGGGCTGTCCATGAGCGCAACCCACGCCGTGCGGGAGGACGGCGGACAGCGTGGTGCCGCCCAGACTTTGGGCTGAGGAGCCGGGGAGGCCCACAGCAGAGCGGACCGGGCCCCCGCTGGAAGTGTGCCGGCCAGTGGCCCCAAGCTTGGCCGAGCATGAGAATCACCTTTACACCCGCCCTGTGCTTGGGTCGCGCCCCCCGCATGGCACAGAAAGCTCACTGCGTGGGACAGTTCCTGAAGTTTCCGGTGCGCACTGGAGGCCGGGGACCACTGTGCTGCGTGGCTTTTTCTGCTTCCTCTGGCCTCCTCTGCATCATATACAGCAGGGTGTGTGTGTGTGTGTGTGTGTGTGTGTGTGTCTGTGTGGTACTGGGGAGTGAACCCAAGGCCTCTGAGCTCTTTGCACTGTTACCTCCCTAATCCTTTTTTTTAAAATTGTATTTTGAGAAAGGGTCTAAGTTGCCCAGGCTGGGTTTGAACTTGTGGTCCTTCTGCCTCAGCTTCCCAGAATGCAGAGATTACAGGTATGAGCCACCAGGCCAAACTCTGGCCTCTTCTGGACATTCTCTGGATGAGCACTTCTCAACTTCACACACGTATGACTCTAACCCGAAGAACTCAAGGACACCTGGGTTCCCCAGGGAGTCCAGCCTCCGACATTCCGAAGCCGCAGGCTCAACCGGAGCCTGAGCTCCTGTGTCTCTAACAGTCTCCTCCCTGCGGCTGCTGTCCAGGGTCGCCCTTGAGGAACAAAGCGCTCAGCGGCTGGGGGGAGGACTCTTATATTCCCTTCCTAGGTCAAAGCTTTTTGGTCCCGGTGTCCATGCATGGATGGATTTATGAACCACGTAGCTGGAGTAAATTGACTGTGTTCAGAATGGTAAATATTAATTCAGTTAACATGGGGAATTTTACATTAAGAAATTATTTATCTTTTTAGATAATAACAGAGACTGCAAACCCATACCTGGGTAACAGGAAAAATCAACCGATAACTAGGAATGCATCAAAAGGTGCCGTCAAAGGCTAACTCCGATTGCATCTGGAAAGGTGTGCTTAGTGCTTTCCTTTGCTTTTTTCCCTTTTAAAAATACGTTTTTAATTTCAAAGGACACATAACCGTAGTTCATATCGATGGGGGTATAATGTGAGATAGATGCACACGGAATGTGGTGACTGCATTGGGGTAACTGGTGTATCTCTTGCCTCACATATTTTTTTTGGGGGTTGAGGACATTTAAAATCTCTTCACTGTTGATTTTGAAATATGCAGTTGATTGTTCTCAACCAAAGTCATCGTTCTGTGCTGTAGGACATGAGAACTTGCTCCTCCTGCCCAGCTGCTCTCCTGTATCCATTAACCATCCTTTCCCCATCCTTTCCTGGCTCTGGGGACCACTCTTCTGGTCTCTGCTTCCATGAGATCAACTTTTTACCTTCTGTGTATAAGTGAGAACATGCAATGTTTATCTTTTTGCTGCCTAATTTATGTCACTCACTGAGTAAATTTATGCTAGTCCCGTCTATGTTGGTAAAAGTGCCATAACTTCATTCTTTTTCAGATTGAACAGAGTTAAACTGTATATGTATCCCATTCATCTGCTGATGGAGATCCGGGCTGATCCCACATCTGGGTGAGTGGGAGTAGTAGCACAATACACACGGGTGTGCAGATGTTTCTTCCACACACTCATTCTGTTTCCTTTTGATATATGCCTAGGAGAGGCACTGTTGGCTTGTGCATCACAACTTTGCATGCTGTCCAGTCAGTAAGAGCAGTGCAAGTCTGAACACAAAAGAAGCAGGGACTGAGGTCACGGGGAGCTACAGCCCGGAACGGTGACACTTATCCATGCTGAGACCTACCAAGACTGATGAGACTTGCCTTTTCGAAAATTGAAAGCACTTCACTCAAAACTGGTCCTGAGTGGCGGTTTGGGTCAGTGCAGGGCGACCACCCATCCTGGACTACCTCCATCCTGTGAGTTGTCTCAATCCCGAGTGAGCTGGATGACGGGTCCCCCTGTCCTCAGCTGTGGCCACACACTGGAACTCCCCAAAGAGCTTTGACACACGCATGCCTGGGATACCCAACTCCTTTAGAGAGTCTAGTGTGATGGGTCCTGGACACTGGGGTTTTGCAAAGCTCCCCAGATGGTCCCAGCAGATGACCAGGTTAAGGTCCTAGAGCATAGACAATATCTGTTCATTCACTTGCTCACCGATCTGTTGTTTCATTCATCAATTTGTGTATTCAGAGATATCGATTTCATGTGTTCTGTGACAAGCACTGTCCCAGTCTGAGGATGGCATGGATAAGATAGAACGCTTTGTTACGAGTGCTTATAGTCTAGGGAGAGAGATCTGCAATGTAATATGCCACCACAAGCACCGTTCATCTACTGTGTAACAGATAATTGTTGAATACCTTCTGCTCCAGAGCGGTCTGGGCATTGGACATTGAGTGCTGAACAGGACGGCTGTGGTCACCCTTTTCACAGAGCCTGCCTTTTACTCTTGCTGGTCAGCACTCAGTCAAAAACTAAACTAACAAACAGCACACGTTCAGGAAGCGAGGGGTTGGTACAAAATGACTCAGAATACAAGAAATTATGCAAGAAGCAGAAGATAAAACCCAGCTTTTTGGGAACAGCAAAAGTTTGCTTTTTTCTTTTCTTGAGACAAAGTCTCTCTGTGTTGCCCAGGCTGGCCTTATGCTTGTGATCCTTCGGCCTCAGCCTCCGAAGGGATGGGATTACGGGTGTGTGCAGCCGTGGTCAGCTAAAATTTCACTCCTGGCTGCACTGAGTTTGAGGTGCCCGTCGGGCATTGAGGTCCAGAGTGCCGAAGCGGTCGGGTCTGGAGACGGACACTCGGGAAACATCAGCGTGCAGGTGGCAAGGACAGGATGAGTGATGGGTAACTGAACAACAATAATATCTAAATATGAGAGAAAAGAAGCCATTAGAGAAAGAAGCAGAGAGCTAGGAAGAGAACCCAAGATCATGTGGCCTAAACTATGGAAAGACAGATTTTCCAGGAGGATGTGGCCGCCAGGGGAAAGTCTGCAGAGACAGCAGGAACTCTGATTTGGATGTTGAGTGACCTACAAAGGTCCCTCTGATAAGGCTTGGGGAAAGATGGCGGAAATTTGCAAAAGCAGTTTGGGATAGGCTGCAGGATAGTCCCCTAATGCATGCCATGTCTGTTCCGAGCATCTGTATCTTACCTATGCCTATCTTGCCTTACACAGCAAGAGACACTTTGGAGATGTGATTAGGTCAAGGATTTTGAGATGGAGACATTATCCTTGATTATCTGGTCACGAGAGTCCTTAGAAAGGCGAGCCAGGGGATCAAAGTGGTGGGAGATCAGACATGAAAGCAAGGAGTCAGATCAATGCCAGGAAGGAGCTCTGAGCCCAGGAGAAAGCAGCAGCCTCTCAAAGCTGAAAACATGAGCAAAAAATTCTGCCTGGATCTTAACTTTCAACTTCTGACCCTTGAACTAGAAGATAAGAAATGTTTGGTGGTTTCAGCCAGTAGGAGTGCAGTGCTTTGTTGGGACAATAGGGAACTAACACAGAGCTCGCGAAAATACTGTTGCAGTCAGATGGACCATCAAGAAGAGTGGGAATGGACATAGTGTGTGTGCCATCTCTCCTTTCCCTCTCCCCAGCCACTCAGCTTCACAGTGTAAGATCCTGTCTTTAGTGTTCTATTTTGTGCAATTGAGCATGTTTATATTTCTACTACCAGTATTTCAATTGATGGTCTAAAAGTTTTTGACTGTGCTAAGGAAGAAGCATAGATGTTATAATGAGTTAATAAGCCAACCAGTTCTACCTCCAGCCATCTTTTCTCACCTCTCCATTTCTTTTGTTGGTTTCTAATTTCTACATTGTTATGCCAAGTAACATTTAAGTTTCTATCTGTTACTCAAATGGCCATATTTGTTTTTTTTTTCCAGAGCAAAATTATATTCTAGTATCAATGGTCGCACTTAGTCCTTTGGCTGGTGCCTCTTGCTTGGTAGGTTCAGTTGTTCTGTAGTAGCTTTTTAAAAAAAGAATGTGTGGGACAGTATTGCCAGAATTCCAGCATGTTTTGAAGTTCTTTAGCAGTCTTTATATTTGAATGACGATGGCTCAATATAAAAACTGTTGTTCTGTTGTCCCCCAATACTGAGTAACACTGTAAAAAAGGCAAAAGATTTGTGTGATCTGAAGAGAAACCAGAGTATAAGTGACACTGTAAAAGTTACTCAAAGGGAAGTTTGGTTTTCCTCCTCATAAGAGATGTGTTCATTTTGCCTGGCATCCCAATTGTTCTTTAATTTTCTTTAAAGATCAGTAACTTTATTAGGGTATATCTGAGCACGATGATTCTCTGTTACTTTCACTGGGCCTAAGGTGACCTTTTCAATACCTAGATCACGTTAAACATTTTTTCAATGAAAAGTCTCTAAATTACATTTTAAAATTATACAATTATGTTTAAAAATATTGGTTCCAGTCTATTATTTGGGTTTTTCTCTTTGGAGACACCAAATGTGCTTATGTTGAACTTCTACTTTCTGTCATATGATTTCTGTTTAATTCCAATTAACTCTTTATTTACATTTTATTTCTTTTTTTTTCACCTTACTCCTTTCCATATGCTATCTCCTACATGGGGTTTTCCGCAACATCTCACTTTGCATTATTTCTCATTTTCTCTGTAATTCTGTGATGATTTTATTTCTTCTATTTCCTTTCTCAAAGTTGTTTACATTTTATCGCCTCTCGCGGCCTTATCTACTCATACCTGAACTTTGTACTCCAACGTTGAACTATTTCTGCACAGAGTGCCACAGCAACATTTACAAAATTTAAAATACGTGATGAGAAATTTGCAGTGGTGGTCTCTCCTTATCCATAGTTTCATTTTCTGCAGTTTCAGTTCCTTGAGATCAGTCTCAGTCCAAAAAATATTACATGGAAAATTCCAGACATAATCAATTCATAAGTTTTAAATTTCAGAACTTCTGAGATCTGAAACATTGAGGTCCAGCGTGCTCAAGCTGTATATGCTACCTGCCTGTGACTGTCACAGTATCACAGAATTTCTGTTCAAACAGCCCTCTGTTAATGATGCCCCACAGCATAAGAGAAGTGGTGCTGGTAATTGAGATACACCAAAAAGAAGCTATAAAGTGCTTCCTTTATGGGAGAAGGTGAAGGTTGTAGTTTTAGTGAGGAAAGAAAGTATATATCATATGTATACATTTTAAGATGGGGTCTCACTCTGTAGTGCAGGCTGGCCTGGAACAAGCAGCAATACTCCTGCTTCGGCTTCCCAAGTACTGGGATTACAGTCATATGCCACCATGCTTGGCTAGGAAAAAAATATATGCTGGAGTTGCCACAATGTCTGGGGAGAATGAGTTTCCACCTGCGTACTTGTGAAGAAGGAAAACCAAATTCATGTTCGTGTTGCTGTTCCATGTCAAACTTCGAGACAGAGCTGCACTGTGCAATGAATGACCGGTCCTCCGCCTCACGTTGCCTCATCACCAGGTCTGGGTCTCCTCATCACAAGAGGAGGAAGGTGAGCACAGTGCAGTAAGGTAGGAGAGACAGCAAGCACATAAGGAGAACGGAGGTTATCATGGAACATTGTTAGTCATTCCATTTTATTACTAGTTATCGTTATCCTCTGTGCCTAATTTATACATTGAACTTTATCACAGGCACTTGGAAGTGCATAGGCATAGAGACAAACACAGGGTCTGTGGAGTTTGTTACATGCCACTGTTCCAGGAATCCCCTGGGGGTCTTGGACCAGATTCCTTAGGGATGAGGGGTTCTGTATTCAATGTTCATCTGTTCCTCAGGAACACTTTCATAAAGAATATCATGCTTCTGTGAATACATTTTGTTCATTGGCTATTTTTTCTCAGAATATCTCTGCATGCAGTCTATGCTAATCCCTGCTTTATTGTTTATCACTTAATGAGTTGGGTTATAACGGGCCCAGGGTAGCATTGCAAGTTAGTTATTATTCACAACTAGAAGGCTCTCTTCTGTGAAGCAAACTCCCTGCTGCAGGAGTGGCTTCTCTCACAGCGCTGCGCAGCCCTCTCCTCTGCCTCCATGTACCGCGCGCGGAGCGGAGGGATCCTGCCGCCGCCGGTTCTCTCTTGCACGGGCTGCTCCAGACAAAGGACTGATGTCTGCGGGAGCTCGGGAGGGAGGAGCGCTACTGCCGGCTCCTTCTCAGCTTTTGCCCCTTCCTCCCACATAGCTCTTGCATGTACAAATGTTTTGGAATGCATGTCCTAGTTTCACCAAAAATGTAATTCCTTTTTCTTCTTTTTTTTCCTACCTGCGTTTTTCTTTATCAGTTATCAAAGCTTTCCAGGAGAAAAGAGTGGATGAGTTCATGCAGCCCTGTCTGTGTTGGAGGGTTGACGAGTACTCCAGGCACGTGCGTGTTCTGACCACAGCTTTGCACTGACAGCTGTCCTTTAACTGAAGTATGCAAGAGCGATAGGGATGTGCTCGCCGGAGGCAGGAAGACCTCTTCAGGAGACATTGCAGTAAACCAAATCCCAAATCGGGAAGGCCTAATGCCACCCACAAGGGGAAGGAAGGGATGGATATACTGGTATCGTGGAGACAAAAGATGCCCAGAATTAGAAAGAGGTCCCTTGAGCAAAGAGGACAAGAATTTGATGGAGGCTTTGAGCCTGTGTAACAAAAAGGATGGTGGTTTATGATCCAAAATGAGGAAATCAGGGAGAAGTCAGCTGGGAGAAAAGCAAATTTATTTTTATTTATTCCTTTTTAGAGACAGTTAATTTGAGTTTGTGGCATGTGCGATGCCCACGAAAGTTATCCAGAAGGCAGTTAGGGAAGGGAGGCAGGGAGGGAGCGAGCGGGGAGGCAAACCTGCAGGTTATTCCTGCCGTGGGACACCGGGAGCCGTGCGACTTTAGGAGCGGGGCAGAACGCACCTACCTGTAAGAGGGTCTGATGAAGGAGACAAAGGAGTCATCAGAAAAACAGAATACTCAGGACCTATGACACTATGGGAAGGTAAACAAAATACAACTACCCTCATGCAGTGAGAGCCAGTTACATGCTAGGCATTTAGAAGTATTATGCCGCATTAACACTCGTACAAATTCTGAACACTTTGC